CTCAGAGGTGGACGGATCAGTGGTTTCTATGGTTTCAGCAACTTCCTCCTCCAGTCGACTGCTGCCTCCAAAGGAGCGTCTTAGGGAGAAGGCCTTCCAGTACTGCCAGCGTGTTATTGAACAGAGTGATCGCAGTGAGTGTGTGTGTGTGTGTGAGTGATAATCAAGGGAAAAGTCATTTATGCAGATTTTTTTTTTAATGGTACCTTTATCATACACCCTGAGATCTAAGTGTGAGCAGCTGTGATGTTTTGTACTTCTCTTTGTCTCAGAGGCACACAAGAGGACAGATTCAGAGCTGCAGAAAGCGGTGAGTCCATTCTTTTCTGTTGGAGTGCACAGCAAGGTCCTGTAGTGAAACTGTTTCTGGTTCTAACACGTCTCAGCAGCAGTGTCTTCTTCGTGGTCCTGTCCACTCTGTATAGTGTATGGGCTCTGTTCGACACTTGGTACTGAAACAGGCTCACCTGTGCTAATATTATGGAGGGATTATCTGTGTGATGTCTTTATCCTATTTTTACTACAATAGCAATGATAACAGTGAACATTTTTGTCCCTCAGAATTGAAAGTCCTTTAAAATTGCATGTCAGTAGCTTTGTAGCTCGATTCTTCTTCTGAACGTTGCCGTTACTCTTCTCACCACAACCACACATATATGAAGGACGTCACTGACCAGAAACATTCTGTAAAAATAAACCGGTGACCCTGCTTGAAGGATGGTTGGTACCCATTTAGTGTCTGTGCTGTGTCCTGCTGTAGTGTCTGGTGGAGGCGGTGCATATCCTGGACTGTGTGTGTGTAGAGGACGCCTCGCTGGTCTACCGAACCTTCCCGTGCATTAAAGCGCTCTTTGGTCGCCTCAGCTCGGACCTGTCGTTCGCCAGAGTCGTGCTGCCCATAGCACAGTTCTACCTTAACCATGGTGTGCACACACATCAACATGCACATGTGCTCCACTTCACAGAAGTCTCTCTCCTTCTCCAGATCACATCAGTTGTCACACTAACAGTCCACTTCCTTGACTTTAGGTGAGATGGCGGCAGTGGACTGTGAGAGCGTGTGGAAGCTGGTGTTTGGCCAGTTTCCTGCCGAGCTGTTCAATGACCCCTTCCTGGCACATGAGCTTCTACGCTTCCTGCGACTGAACCTTGAGAGCTTGCAGCTCCGAGTGCCACAGTACATCCACTCCATCCCAAACCTGTTGAAGGTCCAAACCAGAGCAAATTACTCTTCTATACTCATCACATACCTTCTGTAAACTATTGAGGAGCACATGTACAGTATCAAAGGTGGGATGCACAAGCTGTTCACATTCTCTCCCCGACTCTGTAGTTTCTAGCGTGGGACAGCACGGCTGTGTTGGATGATTTTGTGGATCTGCTGCCCTCTCTGGTGACAGCTGGAACTGCTGTAGAGCTGCTCCACACACTGCTGGACCTGCCCTGTCTCTCGGCCACACTGGTCTTGCAGCACAGGTCGGGCACACACACTGGAGCAGAACTGCCTACCACTCTGATTTGTCTACATTTAGATGTTCTTTACCACCATCTCACTGGGTTTGTGTGTGTTGCAGGTCGACATGTTTGCCCATATCTGAGCCAGGTGGACGTGGCCTCCTGTCACTGGATGCATTTCGAAACCCTTCGTTCAGAGGCCTTTTTCTTTTCCTGCTTCGAGGGGAAGCAGGCTCAGGTAAACACATTCACAGTTAAAAGTAGAGTTCAGTGTTTTGGTAAGTCCCTTTATTCACATTGTTGTTTAGAGTTACATGGACCACATATGTAGAAAGAATGGAAATGAGGAAAAGGCTGCTGCTGTGCTAAGGTAACAAAATCCACCCACCTTCTGCAGTTCTCTAAAATAAAAATGTCACTTTTACACTTTCTACTGAGCAAACCAAGCTAACTGTCTGTAGCCTCATATTATCTATAGAGAAAGGAGATTATCCGTTTTCTCATCTTGAGTTTTTACTTTCAAGAAAAGGGTTTAAAAATATGTTGTTTAAAAGTTTTTACAAGTTTTCATTTATACTGCAGTGAATGTAACATGAAAATAAAGCAGCATTGAACAGTTTTTTCTTTCTTTTTTACTGTTAAAATACAGCATTTTTGCCACAAGTTTTAGAAATCTCTAGAAATGTTACTCCTGCCTCTTAAGATTGTTTCTTGTTGTTAAAACCAGTAGCTGTGAAGAGAAGCTATTGAATTAATCATAGCCAATGAAATCATTGTACTTTGCTTTCTCCTTCCACAGGTGACACAATCGACAGACTGAGCACGCTCCACGAGCTGCTAGCCGAGGCTGCTGATTGGCCGAGAGTTGTTCAGTGTGCCCAGACTGTCCCTGTGCTGTTACACATCTTTTTCAACACTGTTGTTGAAGTAACGAGATTAAACATTTTTACAAACTTATCTCTACTGCATATAAAATGTTTGATGTGTAGTTTGAATCTCTGAAACTTATTTCTAGGTAGCTGATGAGAAGCTATTAGCCCACCTTATTCTGGTGATGCTGGAGAGAAGTAGCCTCCTCCTCAACCTCCCTACATATATCGAAGAGGTCCATAGGTATACCTTTACACAAACAGTGGAGCTAAAGTGTTACTCTGCTGTCGGTCTTGGTTTCACAGTCATCTCCTCTCTCGCTCCATCCCTCTCTGTGTGTCAGCAGAGTGTTCAGCTGCCATCTGCTGAGGCTGTGCAAGCTCCAGCCCTCGCTGGTAGTGGACCAGTCTCGTGAGCTGGTCGAATTTGCTGGAACCACAGCCAGCGTCTACAGCAAAGAGGAAATGTACACGCACGTGGTAGTGAAACTCTGTGTGTCTGTTTTTCCTCTCTGTATTTTGGATCCTGCACAAACGCCATGTCTCAGAATCTTTTCCTCTGTATTGAAATATGGCAAAATATCACACTAAACCTGGCACCAAAATAATATTTAACTTGTCTGGATCTCAGGTGTGGGTACTGGGAGAGTACCTCTCTGTGTCATGTGACTCTCGCTGCTCTGTGAGGCTCATCACTTCCTGTTTTGAGGCTTTGGAGGCAGTGCTGTTTGAAATAACTTCATCTGCCCCACCACCTGGAACGGCTTGTCCTGCTCCTAGAGTTGTCACCACTCTAATGAGTGCTCTTGCTAAGTTGGCGTCACGGTCACATGACCTCATACCCAGGTAAATGACCAACATAGGCATCACAGTTTCTTTCTTATTCTCACAGACATCGGTGATATAATTCAGGTATGTGTTTCTTTTCCAGGGTGTCTCTTTTCCTCTCCAAGTTAAGGACAGTAACCAGAGGCGGGTCAGTCGTCTGGTGCTCCGATGAGGAGGACCTCGTTGCCATAGTAACACGAGGAGAGGAACTGTGGTCGCTGCTGAAAGCCCCCGGTGTGGCACAGAGCGTCTTGACGCCACCACCACATGTCACCGTGCCGCGGTGGCACCGAGACACCAATGCATCCATGCCGCTGCAACTGCGAACCCTCACCAGCCTCACTCACTCTCAGTGACACACGCCTGCACACACAAATCATCATTTTGCACTGGTACCAGGAGATGCATGAGTATAAGATATGAGAATTTCCTTATACATGTATATCCTAATTAATGTTACAGTATGTTGAGCACATCCCCATGGGAGGATGCTTTGTGAGAAATAAGAATGTAAGAAAATGATGATGGTCATTTGCTTGCAGCAGTAAAGGGTCCTATGATTAATTTATTACAGGCTTTTGAAAAACAGTTTATGAATTACACAATAGTTTACACATATCAAGTGAGACAGTGGTACTGTATGAGTTCATGTTTTCACAGTGGAGTTCCCCCGATAAAAGAGGAGAAAACCTTCCTGCTGGAGGATCTTAAGACTTTAAAAAAATGAAAACAGTGACCTCCTTGCCGCTCTAGAGAAAACACGAGAAGAGCTCCAGAATGACCGCCAACAATGGGAGACAGAGAAATTCTCCCTCATGGAAGACATGAGGAAATATAAAGCTTCCAATGTGGCTCATCTTAATGAGATGGCAGCTGATTTAAAGAAGTGACAAGAGCTGGCAAAGACCTTATATCTCCAGGGCAGGAGGACAGGTTTACCCTCCAGGCAGAGCTGGAAAAGTCTCACAGTCCTGCCCATCATCTTGAGAATAAAAAGCTTATAGCTTGTCTGAAAGGTGCAGATCAGCAGCTGGGCACCGTATTTCAACAGTGGCACTGGGACAGGCATTTCCAACAGATCTTACTGAAAGAATCCCAGAGTTCCAGTCTTGCTCAGCTAAAGATGCAAAAGAAAGAGAGTCACGCATTTGAAGCTGCTCTAAAGACAGTGAAAGAGTAATTGAACTCAAATGGGAAAATGATTTAACTCTCCCCCTCAGCTCCGACTTCTGGACAGAAATGTGCAATAACATCTTTTCTATGACCAGCAATGTAAACTTACAACTTATACAATACAAGACCATTTACAGGACCCATACCCATTCCCTCTGGACGTTCAAAATTGGTTTCACTGACACAGACATCTGCTCACAATGCACTCTAGGTTGCACAGACAGTTACAGTGCCTTGATAGAAATCAACCACCTACCAATTAAATATAAAAACCCACTCCTCATTTCTCTAGTTATTGCCAAGAAAACAATCTTTCAAAACTGGAAATGAAATAAATCACTCCACATAAACCACTGGACCAACCTTCTGACAGAATACATCACATTAGAGAAAATGGGATCAACTCACAATAATAGTTTATCAGCTTTTTATGACACATGGAACCATTTTTAACACATTTCAACTTGAACCAAACACCTGGGGCTGAGGCCACGCACATTCCCACCAACCTCTAGAAATGTAACAAGCTGTTTTTATTAGTAGTACTGTTATCATCATTGTCAAATCAAAATTTTATTTACTTCCCCTCCTTTTCCCTTTCTTGCATTTCATAGACTGCATAAGTTGGAAATACCCACACTTCACACACTACAACCTCGTTAAACACTCTATATCCTTTTGTAATGTCATGTATCTGTTGTCTTGTCTCCCATGTTCGGTACTGTTTTGTTAATGTGTTTGTTTCAATTTAAAAAAAAGTGAAAGAGCAGCTTGATAACAAATACCTCCAGTGGCAGCAGGAGAAATCCTCCCTCCTGCAGAAGATGGAGAAATCCAGAGCTTTCAGTCTCGCCTAGCTGGACATACAAACAAAGTAGAGCCACGCATTTAAAGCTGCTTTAAAGACAGTCACTGAACAGATAGACAAGGAATGCCTTGAATGGCAAAAGGAGAAAACCTTTCTGCTGGATGAAATACAGAAATCTAGAGACTCCAATGAGTCCTACAAGCTGAGTACTGAGGAGCAGACCGAGAGCATCCAGGAGCTGCAAGTCAAACTCAGGTTCCTCAAGGGGGAGAAAGAGTTCCTTCAATAGGAACTGGAGGCAAAGACATTAGCCGCAAGAAGTTCCCAGGCCTCCCAGCAAGCTCAGCTGGCAAAACACAGAGTGGAGACCAAAAGGATTGGCACTGTCCTCAGATAGGCAGAAGCTCTGGTGACAGAGCACGGTCGCTTAATGGAAGAGAAGAACTCTCTGGTGGAGGAAAAGTCCAGAGCCTCCTATCAGGCTGAGCTTAGCAATTTAAAAAAGGAAAATAACCAGCAGACGGCTGCTGTGAGGGACACAGAGAGGACTGAACATCTTCAGTGGCCGAATGAGTGGGAGACGACAGAGTGCTGTATGAAGGCTCGCCTGAGCTTGCTTTAGAAACTTATAGTTGCATTTATAAGCTGTCACAAAGTGGCACAACTTTAAACAACCCTTCGATTAATTGTTTTAATCTCATTTGTAATGTATTCCATCAGTCGACCAGACTTGGATGTTGGTTCACATATTTTTTGTGTACAATTCGTCATCAAAAGAAACATATAAAACAAGTTTGAAGTTCAGCGGTGTCTCTAGATTTTTGTCCTCCCCAGCTACTTACATAAAAGGGTCAGAATATTAGGAACGCCTTTGAATATAATGTAGTCCAGTACAACCCTATCTTTAAAGAAGGTTATATTCCTTATAAGTACTTTTATATAAAACACAGCTGGTGCCTCAGTTTCACTTATATTCCTTATAAGTACTTTATATAAAACACAGCTGGTGCCTCAGTTTCACTTATATTCCTTATAAGTACTTTATATAAAACACAGCTGGTGCCTCAGTTTCACTTATATTCCTTATAAGTACTTTATATAAAACTGCTGGTGCCTCAGTTATAGTGACTCAAACAACTTAATATTCCACAGTACCCTCTTTGATGAAACGTGGAAATGCATATCGTGATGTTCTCGGGGGACTTTTACCCCAGGGACAGTTCCTGGACATTAGTTTTTTGGAATAAAAGCTACCAGGGACCTTCTGGTGGAAATGCAGCTTATGACTAAAAGCAAAGTGCAGCTGAGGCTGATGGGAATGTCATTAGCGCTGTGGGCCAATTAATGACAAATTCATTATTAATGATGATGCTAGGTGAGAAGTCATCAGATCAGCAAAGTTAATAATTTTATCCTGAGGGGAGCACAAAGCAAATTTTCATGGTAATTCTTCCACTGGTTGTCAAGATATTTCAATAAAACCACAAGTATAGACCTCAGTAAATCACCAAAGTCATGCTTCATTGTGAAATTGAGAGGAAATGAAAACATTCACCTGCTTAGTGGCACCAAAGAAGAAGTCAGGGAATCACCAGGTTCATCTGGGTGAATGTTCACATGGCATCTGGCCAACGGCTGCCAAGATTCTCACTAAAAATCAGAAATGACCACTGGTGGTGGAGCAGGTGTTAAAACTGGGGATCAAGGTGCAGAGATACTGGAGGTGACAGTTGCAAGCAGCTATTCTGAAACAATGGGAACTTAGTTCTCATAGTCTGGCCCGTTTGTTCGGTCCACTCACAGTCTTCGGCTGTGAAACTCAGCTCTTGGAGGCAGTTACGGTACGTTAATGCCCTTAGCCCCTGATTGCTGCAGTTTGTCTCAAAATTCATATTCCTTCTGTGGATGTCTGGTCATTTGGTGAGCCGGAGCTCACACCTCCTGCTGGAATGTGATCTACACCGGGTGTCTGTGTCTGTGTGATGTTAATTTGTTAATTTGCCAACTTGTCTTTGTTAAAATGTGAATTGGCTGTCTGGTCGCGGAGAGATGCAGACCTCAAAGGCAGCTGGAGATGGTATGCAAGTTGTTAGATGTGAGACAACGGTATGAGTTTTATAGATGTGTATTGTATCACTTTGGTATAAAGGGACTGCCCCTTTACCAGTCACTCAGAGAACTCTGCGCGACTGCAAAGCTGTGTCCGACTTCTCTCCATACTGCATGAAATAAAGAATTCTTCGAAGCTACTCCCGGTCTCCAGACATCTTTATTGGGTCCTGCCCGTTCCCACTACCACACTTCTCATAAGTGATTCAAATTTGAACATGCAGACATGATACACACATTTTTAAATTCAGTGCCTTACACTTCCCAGGGATATCATTGTCTTTTATGCCCATTGTATTAAAAACAAGAAGTTCTTTATAACTGCTGAACTTTTCTGAGAATCATTAAGTTTTGAGTGTTCTTCAGTATGAAAAGGAAGCCAGTTGTCTGGCAAACAGGAGCTTTTCATAACTAATTTAACAAACTGTAAAATGTTCTCAGTTTTGTCTGAGGGTCAGATTCTAAAAGCCTCCAGCACTGGGGTCTGTAGACATGTTCGTGCCAGTCTGACCAGTTGCATGTGGAGATAGTGAACTGACTGACTGGCACAGAGCGATGCTGATGTCTACACAGCCACAAAACATGGATGGCAACAGAACGCCTCTGTGCCGATGCAGTTTTACAGTGCGATGCCACCAGACAAAACAGAAAATAAGACACATAGTTTATCACTGAGTGACAGGCTTGGCAGGGATCTCGGAAACATACTCTGTTCATATCATTTTGGCTGATTATTTTTGCGACTTTGTTGTCAGCCTGATGACCCTGTAAGGCGTTGTGTAATGTGCATGTGTGTCTCTCTCACTGAAATCACTGCACGTCGCTCGGTCTAACAATCTTCAGATGAGACCAGGCTGCTTTGACCATCACTGCAGACGCTAACCTCGCTGTCTCTTTCATGGCTGCTCTCTGTTCAGCCTCTCTGTCTCCGTTTCTCTGTTGCTGTCTTGCTTTTGTTCTCCTTCTATGCTCCACCGGTAATTTTTCTCTCTATTTGTGTTCTTTCTTTACAACACCAGCTGTTTGCTCTCATTTTCTTTCTCCTCTCATTTTGGCCCTTTTTCATAATCTTTATAATGTTTGGCTATGAGACGGGTTTATATACTGTTTTTCCTCCTTTGCGATGGTTACATTTTAATGTTGGGGGACATCGAGTGGCTGTAGTGTTTATGACAGGAGCAAAGGAGGAAGTCAGGTGGTGAGGTGTAAAGAGAAAAAACAAACCAAAACAAACTGCTGTTTGCTTCCTGTTTGAAACCAGTAGTCACTGTCACTTCTTTTAACCACGATCATGTTTACAACCATATAAAAGAAGTTGTTTTTCTGTGTTACAGTTGCTTTCATGGGATATTTAAGGCTGTAGTTTACAGGACCTCAAGACTCATTTATTATTTTTCTTTTCAGATTAAGATGAGCCCCTTCTCAGTGCAGGTTCTTATAGTGCTAAGAAAAGCTAACAATTTCCTAAAGTGTCTCAGCGAGGTGCTGGGCCACCATGTCACCAGGACGGCTTCAGTGCACCTTGTTACTGATTCTCCAAGTCTCCAAGTGGTGTGGAGGAGATGTAGTCTAACTCGTCGCTTCAACGTCTCCCATAGGTCACCTGGGTTCAGATCTGGTGACTGTAAAGGCCATAGCGTCTGAGTCACATCATTTTCATACTGATCAAACCATTCGGTGACCCTTCATGCCTTATGGATGGGGGCACTGTCATCCTGGAGGAGACCACATCCCATCAGGAGAGAAATGTTTCATCACAGGATAAAGAAGCTCCCAGCCTATTCATGTTCAGCTGTTGCCGTAGGGGCTTTGATGTTACCATTATATTACCATTTGGTGTTGCCAAAGACAGAAATCCACCATCAGGTCAAACTTTTAATCTGTCCAGCAGTCTGGTTTATGACCAAACACCTGCAAAACATTCCCATCGGCCTCAGGTGTATTTTGTCCTTGGTGCTAATTAGTGAATGTTGGCATGTTGCTTGTTCAGCCACTTGATGTGGAGCCGTGTGATTTCAGGTGAGAGCGAATGGTCACCTCGACATCTGCAGCAGAGGCCCAGATACGTACAGGTACCTCCAGATAGCGTAATAATGAATTCCAGCTCCAGCTGCAACAAACAGATGCCAGATGGCGTGGGCGAAAGGGACGAGGCCATCGCTCTTAAAAAAGACCACCCCCACAACGTAGAAGATGCCTCCTACGGCCAGTTCACACACACCTGCACGCTCCACCTGTGACATATCAAATAAACTTATAATTAAAGTGATGATAAAAGAAAGAATTTACAGTTCAAACAAAACATGTTTAACAACATTTATTTCAAGATATAAAAGACTATATTCTGTGAAATAGAGCTACGGTGAATATGCTGTTTTAGATTCTTGACTTTAGGGACTATACCAGAGGTTTTGTGTGTTTATGTTTTTCATTTACATTTTCCAAAACACACAGTTTGATTAATTCTGCAAATTCATCTCCAGGAAATAGTCCCCTACAAATGCTTTACTCATTTACTCCTGTCTCTGCAAAGTTTAAGCTTTATTAAATGATCTAATGTTTTTAAAATGAGATTATATGTTTAAAAGATTTACATTTCAGGATGAATGACCTGACCTAGGGCTGAATGTCACAGAGGTTTAGAAAAGTCAGAAAGCATTAAAACCCTCCTGTTATGTTGTAAAATAGACCCATTGTAGAGTTAAAAAATCTAAAAACAGTTCTAAATCTAAAAAGTATTTTATTGGTATGAAACTTCTTCTGCTTGGCTTAATATGTGTAACCAACATATAAAATAAAAATGGTTCATTTCACATATTTGCAACCTCCCCCTGCATGTTTATATTACAAAGATACTGTTTGGGTCAATCAGACCCAGACCAGAAGAGGTGTCTCATGTTAATTTATCAACATTACTTCATAAAAAGAAAAGATTTCAAAATGTAAAATAAAATGTTTTATAATCTATGTCATGTAAAAATAATGTATTTTATATGTAGGTCTTTCCAATGTACATTAAAAAAAAGTTTTAACATGCATTTTTTATGAAAAACAAGTGCATTATCCTCATTGAACCATAATCTGTGAGAGGTAAAGAACACCATTCCACTAAATAGTGATTGAAATGGTTAGTAATGGTTAAATTAACCCAGGAACATCACTGCTGTTCCTGAGAAATGAACATAACAGGTGGGTTAATATAAAGTAATACTAATCTGAGCAATATCAATTATAAAGCACCAGAAAATGTTACTTGTCTTTAAGGCATCAATGTTTTTCATTTTATGTTCATTAATACTGACAAGCAACACATTTTGACTCAGGCAGGGGTGGTTGTGCCATCCCCGGGGCTCCACCCATGTTACAGAGCATATTCTTTACCATCTTAGTTTAGCATGTTAGCATGCTAACATTTACCATATAGAGAACTTTATTAATCTCTGCAGGGACGTTACAGGGATGTGCAGGAGGCAATATTGACTAACATCTAATATTAGCACAAATACAGCTGGGGTTGATGGGAATGGCATTAGTTTTGCAAATATTTAGTGTCACTAAAGTCCTGGACAATAATAATTTTGACCAGATGGTGCACGAGTTATTACTATTGGGGGCCAAATTTCATAGTAATCCATCAAATCCATAAAATGTCGAGACATTTTACTGAAAACCACATAAGTTTACATAATCATGTTCATGTAAAGCTGCATTAGTTTTAGCTGTATCCAATAAACTGATGATGCTTAGACCTTTGTGGTTTGCTCTTACCATGGACAGGATGACCAAAGCAGGAACAGCCCCCATGGCCACATATCCCAGCAACTCCAGCAGCTTGTACCTGCAGGTAGAAAACTGGGACATGAAAAGATAATATCTCTAGTTTTATATGTAGGTATTCCTGAGTCTAGTGTGTGCTATAAACACCAGATCAAACCAGGACACACAGACCAGAGAGACCAAAGGTGAGACTGTGTTACCTCTCATGGAAAAAGAAGACATACATGGATCCTATACAAGCCATGACCCAGATGAGCCAGCGCATGTGGCAGGCCCAGGGCCCCAGCTCCCGCAACATCAGCCTGAGAAACAAATCACACCTGCGTCATTATTCACTATCATTTTGTTAAGCTGCTTTCAAAGTGCATATGCTTTCTTGGCTTCAGTCACATGACCCACCAGGGCGAGTAGGAGGCTGCGATAAAGAAGTAGATGGCCATTCTATCACACATGTGGAAATGCTGCTCCACCCTCCTACACACACAGAGAGAGAGAGAGCTACTGACAAACTTCATCTAGTTTGGGAAAAATCAAAAATCTGAGTCACAGTAATCACTCAAACTGAGTGTTACATTTAGTTTTTCAAAACCACTCTGAACTAAAATAGCTCAGGGTTAAACAAGAATTAAACTTGATTCATTTTGTCCTGACCCTGTTCTTTATACACGGATAACCAAGTTAGCTTGCTAGCTGTTAATGCTTAGACGTGAGTGTGGATGTTTATGAAACACACACATGCACATGGAAAATCTCTACCAACGTTTTCTGCTCTACACACACACACAAACCTGAGGTGGCTGATTTTCCAGGCAGCAGTGTGGAAAAGTGTTGAGGTGATGAACAGTCCTGTGAGGCCGCTCCCATAAATCCAGGCAGCAACACGATGCCATTGGTCCAGAGACAGGAAGTAGAGCACAGACCCGCCCACCAGACTAGGCAGGATCCACAACTAGAGAGGTTCAGAGAAAGACAAAATTATAGTTTCGCATTATTGTTACTGTTCCTCACAGGACACACTGCATTTTACATCACCTAAGATGCTTCTTTAGACCTTTTCTTACATTTTAAAGGTTCTTCTATATCCTTGATTGCGAAGGAAGACTGAAGCTGTTGTGGCAGCCCAGCATCTTACTGAGACACTTTATGTTGAGTTGTCTGTAACTTTATATTTAGCATGCAGACGTGTTAATTTAACTAATCTAACTCTTGGGAAGTGAGCATGTATTTCCCAAAGCATCAAGCTATTTCTAACTGATTCTGCCTCTAGATGATCAAGATGATCCTTGATGCTTATGGGGTACATTGGAAGTGAATGACTGAATGGATATATACAGTGTCATAAACAGAAGTGACTTCAGAAGACCACATTTAAAGATTAACATTATGGCCATGTTTTCTCTTTGTTTTCTTCCTGTTCCATTTACTCTCTCAGAGGCAGAAGTGCACAGGGATTAGAGAAAGAGTCACACTGAATGACAGATTATAGCCCACTGCCTCTGTTGCCTCTGCAAAGCTTGGGGGTCGTGCAGGGTCACTATTTGCAGGCCTGCAACTACTGTAGATTTCTTCCCATATGCTCCTGCATTTGGCTGCAGCTGCACTTGTGTGCACAGTGTTTTGTTTGTGAAAAACAGGCATAAAGAAAAAGAGAAGACACCACAGAATGTGAACGTGACCCTGGTGACTGAAAGGGGACACTGAGGTCTGTCCACCTTTTCTCTTTCTTTGCTCTGTCGCTGTACAAATTGGATGGCATGTCAAACAGAAACTCCACAACTCCAGCAGTTTCTCCTCCTTTGTAACGGTTCGTGCTTTCCGAGGCACAGAGTCACCGGAGGCTCTGTCCTATCTGCCTCTGTTATGGTGCTCACTGTGCTGCTTCCTGTTTGGTGCTGGAGAGAGCTCATCTACTGGCTGTTTACAATGTTCACCTCACTGTCTACATGAGCCAAGACTAAAGACTTACAATGGTAATAAACGTTTGATTTTATCACAACGTCAAGACGAGGATCACCGCCTTACACCAAATGACTGAGATGACAGGAGCAAAAGACGACTGTGGCAAGACTCTCATGATTGTATTCCAACATTGGAAATTTGTCTGCCACACAAAATCGCTTGAAAAGCCGTTAGTTGTAAGGCCGGCATAAACAAACAAACAAAAGTAGATTTTGCTCTGAAGGTGTGTGTGTGGATTTGTTTGACTCACCCCGTGTGTGGCACAGTTTGCAGCATGTTCATAATCAGTGGGCTGGTATCTCTTACAGTCTGGCACCCTGCAGTTCATGAACCTGAGAGAGAAAGGAGGTAGAGAAGGGAGGCAAGAGTGTGAATGTAGCTGGTGGCAGAACAAGGTACTGCTCACTTAGTTATAAGTTACTGTTTGCGGGACCCTTGAAGAAGCCAGTGGCCTGTGCGAGATATACATCTCTGGGAACATACATCTGTTGTAATGTCTTTCTCTGGGATAAAAAGCCCCCTTAATGTAAACCATTACATTTCAGAATTGGTTTAAGCCATCAATATACTTTTAACTGCACGTTCACATCATGGCTTCTTCATGTGTTCTCCTGGTTGTGCATGTCCTCAGAATCCATCCACGAGATTCAATTCAGCACATGCCCAATGGGGACAGAAAGTAAGGTGAGCAGCAGTGTTGGATCACTGCAACAAGCTTTGAAGAGAAACCATAGACTGTATATACAGATGTGACAGCTCCTAGAGTTGAAGCCACAGCAGGTCAATCGCCCCCTGGTGGCTGGTTGCAGTACAAGTCATAGACTCCGCCCCCTCTATGTTAGCTGATGGGACATGAGCCAAACTAAATATCCAGGGTACAAATCAAATATATTTTTCCCAGAGATGTTTGTTGTTAATAAGTTATTTGATGATATATAAAGCAGTGTGTCTGGATGATTTGAAGGCTTTGATTGGCAGCCTGATACCACAGCTCCACCTCTAGAAGGGTGCCCCCTGTTCATCTTTATATCAGAGAATCTCAGAGTTTGGCTGTGTGTCAAACCATCCACAATGACACCATTGATGTTTTCTCTGTCTTGATCTAAATATCAATAGTAATGTAAATTCTTGGGTTTTGCTATGGTTTTTGTTTACGTTGTGCAAAAGTGGAAGTTCACAAGGGAGATCTTGTGTTTTGGCCAGAGATGATTAGGCCCTAATTTGCTTTTTATTTCTTAAATAAATTACACAAGCATGTGTGTGAACATTGACACCAGTGTTACTTCTTTTATCAGTGCATATGCACTGATAAAAAGCAAGTATGTCAGCAATTTTAAAGCCAGGATTAAGGTTAGGATTAAAATGAGTCTACAGCCCATGAATGTAGTCAGTGTAAAGTGTGTGTGTGTACATGTCTTTTTATGATTGTGAGTTTTATGCCTTGACACCATAGTTGTGGGGACATTCTGCCCGATCCTAAAACCTTCAAAGGGCTGTTTCAGGGTTAAGGCTTTGGTGTTAGATGTTTAGTTGTGAGAGTTAGGTAGGATTTCAGCAAAACTATAGAAAGACATTTTTGTGCATCTCATCAATACTGGGCAACTATCTGTGTTACTATGGCTACCAATACTGTACTACCACAAGAGAATACCACTAACCAGTAAACATGAACTACAATTGCATTGTTTGTCATGTTGCCGTACACTCTGAGAGGGCTACTACATGTGTGTTCATGTATGTCTGTGTGTTGTATAGGCTATTTAATCAGCAGTAAATCTCTCAATCCCAGCTTACAGGAGGAAACACATCTGGAGATGTTACGCAACCGCGTTTTATACACCAAGATGAACACACGCAAGCAAATATATACACACTATAATTTGAATGTGGCTCCTCGTGCAGGGCCACAGATGTTTGTTTGTCAGTCAGATGTGTTATTTGATTATACATTTGGGCCGATGCATCATCATCACATGCACACACATACCTCCAACTGCTGTTTGTTGTAATGGGCTGTTAATTCTGCATGAAACGAGAGCAATCAGGATGAAGTGAAGCAGAAGAAGAAACTAAAGTAACATGGCTACTGGTTCCTGACATGTACAGTCCTCAGATAACAATCTACCAAACACCAAATTACCTAAATCTCCAGAGTGGATCCTGAGATGTGGTTGTAGTGTTAGTAGTGTGAATAATAAAGTAGCATTTGTGTGTGTGTGTGTTACAGATGTCAGAGTCACTGCTGGTTTTGGAAGCCTTCTCCTGGTGCCTTTCTCTCCTCTGTTGATGAAGCTGTCAGGGAGCTGCAGTTTCCTTTGCACAGTCTTCTTCACTTTTTCTTCAGGAGACTCTGGAACGTCTTCCTGGTCTTTGTGGGTCTGAGGTTCAGGGACGATCCTCACCCATTACACACAGCTCCCAGGTGTGCATACCCAGTACTTTTACTTCTTTAAACTTAGCAAGTTCCTTTGGTGGAACCTGATTTTCTTGGAGGTCTTCATTCTTCAGTGTTTGCTCTGAGGACCTTTTCGTCTGACATCTTCCCAGTCTTTGAGTGTCTGAGGTTCAGGAATAGACACTTCACACATCACACACACAGCTCACAGACACCCAGCTCCTTTTGGGGAACCCAATTCTCCTCCTTTGTGTAGATTTTTTGAGCTGGAGGTAGGAGCAGATTTTCTCCTTCTCCAAGGCGTCTTTTGGGGGGGGTCTGCCTCCTCCCTGTCTCCTGCAGAGCCTCCCTCTCTGCCTTTGGCTGCAGGTCCCTGGTGAGCCTCCTCTCAGACCCTAATTCTCTACAAGAAGGTGAAGTTTGGATTGAAGCTCTGGTTTGTTCTGTCAGTCACCTGCACATCTTGAAGAGAAGATCCCTACTGTTTGTAATCCCTGAGCTCTGCTTCAGGCACCTCTGTTTTTCTCTTTCTCTTTCTCTTTCTCTTTAGTTTGCTGTCATTGTAAGAACATGTCAACACCCCCACGTCCTTCTCAAGCCCCTTTTGTTCTTCTTTTCCCTCTTCCCATCCTGGAGCTTTAAGAAGGTTTATTGCAGACCTGTGTTATGTTCTCCAGTTCCTCCCTCTTGTGCTTGAGTCTCCTGTCTTGATTCTACAGTTTCTCTATTTCTTTTTCTCACACACAGCCTCATTATCCTCTCACGGCAGAGATGCTCCTCGGTCTTGGACAGACCACAGTTAAGTTCCTCCACCTGTGCCCAGTGAGGAAACAGTCTGTGCTTCTGGAGCTGGACTTGTCCTTTAACTCCTCCACCTTTCTGCTGAGGGACTCAGCCTGCTAGTTGGTTTCTGTTTCTTACTACTGCTCTCCATTTCTTCAGCGAATCGGTTCTGTCATAGTTCGGAGTTCTGTGTCTGTCTAATTTGCAAATACTCTATTACAAGTGCATTTGAATCCTGCTAAGTAAAAGTACTAAATCATCAAAATATATAGTACTAAGAAGTAACAGGTGTACTTGTTCAGCAGTGAAATGTTCCCTGTGTCTGATTGGTCAGGGCCCTTCACAGGCTCACATGATGAAAAAAAAGGAGAAAGAAGGAAATCTATTTTATTCATATTTTGTGTTTACCTTTATTCTTCACTTTTTGATTTTTTTAAAATATTTTTTCCTCTTTGAGCCTTTAACGGTTATTTCAATGAAACCATCAGAAGTTCACAGGAAAATATGTCTTTGGAGATGATTAACAGCTGTTAACGGCTCACAGACATAAAAACTACAGCACGCGGAGAGCAAATAACACTCCTCTGCTGCTTACTGTGTAAACACAAAGTTATATAGGACTAAAGTCTGTGTGAACAATGTAAACCAAACTAAGAAGGATCTTAACGCTTCACTGTGACACAGGACACAAGTTGTTACGTATCTCACCACTATTAATGTCTGATCACTCACGTTTCCTGGTTTTGTAGCCTGATAATCAGATTTCTTTTCACTTCATTCATTCACCCTGAGGTTGGACTTGTGTTGGACTTCTGGAGCAGAGGCTGATGACGGGTGCAATAAGGTTACACATAGACATTTGAACATTTGAAACAAATGTGGAACTTGTTAGACAAATTAGGAAAATGATTTTACATAAATCATAAAGCATTCCCCGGCCTTCGACCCCAACTGTAACCATGAACCCAACCCTTATCCTGTGTTTGTGTGCTCGCCACCACAACCACCAGGAACAGTGGTGTGTTTTCCTGTTGTGGGTCTGGATGGGAGCACAAGGACACAAAGCACCTCACAGGCACGTTCGCACACGTGGCTCTTTTGTTACTAATGCCAGTATTATGGGATATCAGGAATCCTTGCGCTGGCCTTTTTGGCTTTTAATAACCTTTTCTATACTTCCCATCCCTTTATTGTATTAATACAGACTCATAATGACATTGGTGCTCACATGTGCATGGCTGAATGAGTCTGCATGAAGTGAATGCTTTCACCACGGAGCTTGTGTCACATGCTGCACCTTTGTTAAGGTGTAATCCGCAGGAAGAAACATCTAGAGTGATAACATTAGATTGTTGTACGGCTGCCATCCCTGCTTCTTGGTTTCCTGCAGCTCTACAGGCTATGTGCAGAACAGGAAACCACCATGTTTCTGAGTACTGCTGCAGTATTGTAGGACTGTCGTTGGACCTGAATGTAGCACTCTGATGTCCTGTATGAACTCTGTGTGTGTGTGTGTGTGTGTGTAATGAGCTGAGGGGACAGAGATTCACAGGCTCTTATCACAGCGGACATTGTAGGCACGAGCACACTCTCTCTGTTTGCTCTCTTTCTTCTGTTTCCACTCATTGTTTCTTCTTTTCTGCACAGATGTGTTCCACATGCTTGAACATATGTGTGTATGTGGAACCCATGTTTTCACCTCCCAGAGTGAGTGTTTGGTTATAAAGGACATTAAAGCACATTCCCAACATTAGTAGGCTCAGCTGCATCTAAGAGGATCAGAACCCTTGGATCCTGGAAAGAGACCAGACTCTGTAGGAATGTGTGTTTGTATACACACTCTGTGACTCCAGGCCCATTCCTTTTCCAGCTAAGATCAAGTTTCTCTCCTCTGGGACTCAAACTTTGGTTCTCACGATTATCGCCATGTCCGAAACACACACAGTGGACGAATATTGTGTGGATCAGCTGACCTGGGCATTTGCATTCTCATATGTAGCTCCTCTGGGTAGTTAATAAATAATTTCAGTGCATGTCTGAGAAGGGCTGTTTATCCATTACTGTTACTGTAACTACTTACCATTCCTTTTAGCTATTTAGCTGTTCATCTGTTACTTCTAGCTACCACATTTATTCCAAATTTTCTCCTTGTCTGCTAACTTTTTTGTGCACCCTCAGTTGCAGCACATGCAAAAGATTATCATTAAACTGATTGACAGAAAGATACAGAGGACTCCGCAGGAACCTAAGTGATTCTGATAGGAGGCTCAACCGAAAATGAAAATGTTATCTTGCTCTTTTCAGTCTTTAGGCAACAGATAGCAATAAAGATAAACAGTAACATCTCTCTCACGCGCGCACACACACACACACACACACACTGATCAATGACATCCCTCTGATCGAAATGTCACATGTGAAAAATACGTTGCAGGATATTCACCGTCAAAAACTTTTCTGACTAAATAAAATTACCTGCCAAATTTTGTCTTCTTTAAGTCCATCTCGTCCGTGGGTCGTGCGCGCGCGCGCTCTAATTTCAGCGGCGCATCAGTGTGCGTCGTGCCCTCTATGGAGCCCCCATTCCTGATGTCCAACCTTGCGTCCAGACATAAACACATAAGTCCAGCGGGGCCAGCGACCTGCAGAGCCGGTCACCTACACAGCAACCAAACGACTGTTACACGCAGATGCTGGAGGTGCAAGTCCAAGTGTGAGCCATCCGGTGGCGCGGAGGCGACGTGCACGGCCGCTCGCAGTAACGGGGAAACTATAGAATTTGGTTCTGTTCGCAGGATGTTCCACTCCTCCTCCCCTCCTCTCCTCCCCTCCCCTGGCTGATGACAACACCAACCCCTCCCCACAACTCAGCGGCGCGCTCTCGTGCCTCATATGAGCTGACATGTGGCCACAAACCTGACAGGAAAAAGTACGAAAACAGAGAAAAGTGCAGCAGACAAAACAATGTTTATGTTTATTTGGATTTCTTAAATGAAATCCTGTTATTCATTATGTAAATGCCATTTGCAGTGATGGAAGAAGTATTCAGACATTTAACCTAAATACGTCCAACAAAACTTTACTAAAACACTGGTATAAAGCAAAGTGTAGCAAGGCCAGTGGTTCCCCAGTGACCACTGCTGTAGCTGTTACTCCAGTGTAGTGCAGAAGAAAGTATAAGTTTTTCTTGTCGACTCTAATGGATGATAAGTTGTAGGTAAGCTTTAGACTGCATGTGATAAAAAAAGACAAATGTATCATTATAAACATGTTTTCACTCTACTTTGAGCTCTGCCATACATTTATCTGACTGACATTCTCTCGCTCTGTGTCTCATCAAACAACACACTCACAAGCACACGCAAATTGAATGGAAAATTAAATATTCTCCAACAATAACAGTGGTCAACAGAAGCCCTGTGTGGCACAGTGCAGCAGCTGTGAGACAGAGCAGATACATTAGGCAAACACACCGGCATCAAACAAAATGCTACGTGTTTACCTGCAGCTGTGTTCAAAGATAACGTTCAAAATATCAGTGGCAGCAGCCAAACAAGCATTTTGGTACAGGTAAATAATATTCCCAAAGATATACACACACCTGGTGTGTGAGTAAAATGTTTAGTGTAATTACAAACATGTAGACTGAGTTCATATTACATCGGTTTTACAGTAAGGGATTAAAATATATTGAGAAAACAGCCACAAGCTGCTGGACATGTAGGCAAAGCTTGTATCTGTGTATTCTTAGGCAGTGGATTTACCCACAAATTCAGATCATTTAATAGTTTTTATGACACCATGTTTTTGTATGTTCTTATTGGATGCTCTTAAATTTTATTTTAAAAATATATATTCCTGTTGGGACTGTGGTGCTTGACTACATTAGGCATATTTGCTGCCTCTTACAGTCACTTTATCAGTTATATTTGTAAAAGTCATCCTGAAAATAAACATGCACCTATAAATCTGAGCTGCAGCTTTGCCTCTGTGTCTCTGTCCATCATGTTTATTTGGTGCACAGTGCGCTGGACCTCGGCCCGGAGGAGACGCAGCCGCTCAGGCCATCAACACAGGAAACTGGCCCAAAGGTCACAGCGAGCGCAGAATCACAACCATGTGGAAGCAAACAAAGAACTCAAATGATCACAAAATGGAGAAATGGACAGAGTCACTGTGGGAATTTCCAGATATCAGTGGACATTCATGGAATTTAAAACAGTTTTCATTACTTACTTGTTTGTTAATGAGGGCTACTTATACAGGATTTTTTTTGTACGTTTTTTCAGCTTACTATGACCTGGATGACTGAGAATCTGCACGGACATACACTTCAGTCAGATCGTTCAGTGTTTCCTTCTCACCCCATACCTCCAACCTTGTCACTCCAGCCACCAGAATCATTATTGTACAAGTTGTGATACTTGTGCTCAAAATACGACCTTTGGAGACACCACCTTTGGCTCTAGAATGTCCACATGGGAATTTTTCAGTTGTTAACTGTGAATAAAAAGATCAGTTAGATAATCAAGACAATAATCGGCAACCCCTGCACTTTTTATTTCCACTCATTTATTTTGGATTTTTCTGTCATTTGTCACCCACCTGGATTTACCTGTATTTTTTTTTTAGATGTTGTTTGCACATACTGACGGTAGGGGGCGGTGTTGCATCAAAACATGAATCCCTGGATGAATCCATCGGATTGTGTCTCCAGGATATGTGCTTCCTCTCCTCTACGTCCCGTGGACCCGAGGTAATAAGTAATAAACGCACATACCGTTCACGTTGGGCTTAGCATGTGTAAATGTTACCACCGTGGCGGTACAGGTGTAAAAGCTATCCTGGCTCTTTAAAGGTGCCCCACGTTGCGCCATCGGAGCATGCGCGGTAAGGAGGAGCAACAGTCTGAAAGAACAACAATCACTACAGCAGGGTCAGGAACTAGAGATGTTCCTGTGAAGCTACACACCTATAGCAGTACAAATCCCAGCCCAGCTGCTGCTATTTCCAGTGGAACTTTATATGTCGATGGTGCCGAGCCCATGAACTTGGCCAGTCAAAGCGGGGATGCTGGCAGGAGCCAGCTCCTCTTCGCCAACTTCAACCAGGACAACACGTAAGGCTGGGCCGGGGAGAGTGTCTGGGGAGCTGACGGCCTGTGCTGTCAAGTTAGCTGACGTTAGCTTGGTTCGTCTGGACTGTGTACGCGTCTCACAGAGTGACATGATTCCATGTGAAATAAGCCTGGATGTGGTTTCTCACATTAGAAATGACTGACATATCGATGTTAGCTAGCTAAGTAGAATGTCCTGTTAGGTTTTTCCCAACCGTCACTAGCTTAGCTTTATAGCTAACATGACGCTGTGTGGTCCGAGATTAACGTTAGCTACACAAGTAGCTTAACTTGGCTGTCAGGTAACTTCTTCGGTGGCTAAGATTTCATTATTATTATTATTATCATCATCATTGTTGTTACTATTATTATGCTTGTAAACAAACTTAGCTAAAGCTAAAGTGGTTTGGACGCTAGCGTCGACTGGCTAATATTACGCCAGATGCTACAGTTGGAGGACTTTTTGTTTTTTCACAAACTTAACAAAACATTGTAGATACGCCCTGTCCTAAGATAAATTTCCTGGGGACTGCTGTAGAGCAGCTCGGCCTGGTCCTGTTGCGAAACAGCCGAGGTCGTGTCACCACTGTCGGTGCCTGGTCACATCCAGACGCGGACACCGGCTCGTCCCTTTGCCCCCTGCGTCCATCAGTGTTCAGCGTGTGCATATGGGTGTGATATCCTACCGATGCGATGCTGGATCAATACCGTTTCTGTTGTTTCTATAGGTCCTTAGCTGTTGGCACCAAATCAGGATACAAGTTTTTCTCCCTGTCCTCTGTGGACAAACTGGAGCAGATATATGAATGTAGTAAGTATTTTTCAAGCTTTGTTCTCACCTTTAAATAGTTTCTACTCACTTGGTTGTAAATTGTCTTCATTGTGAACAGAGTGAGTACAAAGCTCGTGGGTTATATTAATATTGCTCAGTCATTTAAATCGAGTTTTTGTGTTTAATGGATACAGTATTGACACGCTCACCCTACCATTAGAACACTGCTTTTGCTTTAAATATTAATGAGGTCTGGATGTACTGTATTGTATTGTATGGATGTATTGTATGTATTATCTTATGGTCTCTGGGGGGAAAAGTATGCACCCATTCATTGTGTGCTAACCTATACCTTATAGATAATTGGTTATTTAATAGCCAGTGCAAAGCATGACACCGAGTCATCTTGGCAAATAAGTTCTGTTGAATGTAGTTTACTATTGCTGCTTTTTCTGTTTCGTGTACTAAATATTATTATAAGTATGCCTCGAGGAATCAGTGTACTTTCCACAGTACATGTGGTTATAATGCTTTCATTTGCACCATTTCACTCCCTTAGCTGTTTAATAATGTTAACACAAGGGTCACAGAAAGGCAGCTAATGAAGGATGAGAGGATGAGAGGAGTGAACGTTGTAAAGGGATTATCTGTGTTTGTGTGTGACTCCTCAGCAGACACAGAGGATGTGTGCATCGTGGAGCGCCTGTTCTCCAGCAGCCTGGTGGCCATCGTCAGCCTGAAGGCTCCCAGGAAGCTCAAAGTCTGTCACTTCAAGAAGGGAACAGAGATCTGCAACTACTCTTATTCCAACACCATACTGGCTGTCAAACTCAACAGACAGGTGGGAAGAGGAGGAGGGCGAAGAAATGCATGACACAGTCACGTATTCATGACACATTTATACTGGGCACATGTCATAGATGGGTAATAAATTACTACAGCTAGATGTATAATTATTAGTGATGTTGTTGATGTTTTGTGAATTCTCTGCAGAGGCTGATTGTGTGTCTGGAGGAATCACTTTACATTCACAACATCCGAGACATGAAAGTGCTGCACACGATAAGAGAGACTCCACCCAACCCATCAGGTGAGTCTGAACAATGACAGTCTGTGTTCGTACCGAAACCTGGGATTTCCTAAGCTTTTGGCTTCTCTTTCAGTTGAATCAGTTTATTTTTGTTTTAAATGTGGTTTTCCAGCCTGGTCATCGTTATCACTGCTGCCCCAGAGGCTGAAGCCTGTCACTGCTGTCTACACTCTGACATGTACAAAACAAAAATATACTCATGCTGCCAAAGCTGCTATAAATCTTTAGCTTATTGCAGTCTATTCATTATTTGTGGCTCACTTGCTGTTAATTTCAGATAAATGTGGCTCTGTTGTGATCAGTTTCATTCTTTATTTTGTGTTTGTGTGTGTGTACATGTTTCTCCAGGATTGTGTGCCCTTTCCATCAGCAGCGACAACTGCTACCTGGCGTACCCGGGCAGCGCTACAATAGGTGAAGTGCAAGTGTTTGACACAGTCAACCTGGTAGGTGAACACAAGCACAGTACGGCCCTGTGCCTTGCAGTGTCTGTTTATTAAAGCCATGGACGGATCACCGAGCAGGACTGCCTTGTTGTGATTTGGCTCTAAACAAACTGAATTGAAATATGATCTGTTTTGTGATTTTATCAGACAGTGTTTTCCGTTTTTAATTTATTTCTCTGAAGCATCACATCTCTAGCTAGCGTCTAGCTCTAACTAGTGTGCGACTGCTTGTGTGTTTCCAGCGAGCAGCTAACATGATTCCAGCCCACGACAGCCCGTTAGCGGCTCTGGCTTTCGATGCCAGTGGAACCAAGCTGGCCACAGCCTCAGAGAAGGTAGGGCAATGACTGTACGCTGCACTGATCTGTTGCGTAAGTGGCTCATTGTTTTTCCGCCTCAGTAAATGATGAACTTTGCTTTTTCATTTCCAAGTGTTGTCATCCCCTGTGCATCCTTTTTTTGGTCTCTCCCAGGGCACAGTTATTCGTGTCTTCTCAATCCCAGAGGGACAGAAGCTCTTTGAGTTCCGGCGAGGAGTCAAGAGGTAGAACCGATCTGATGCCTGATGTACTACAGTTTGTTTTTCCAGAAGTAAAACCTGTTTCACTGCGATGGCCTAGTGTAATTCCCCATCTGTGCATGTGTTGGTATGTGCTGTATGTTCATCATTGTGTGTTTCTGTGATTCGCAGGTGTGTGAGCATCTGTTCACTGGCTTTCAGTATAGAAGGCCTGTACCTGTCGGCCTCCAGCAACACAGAGACGGTCCACATCTTCAAATTAGAGACGCAGAAGGAGAAGTATGTGTACGTACCTTTCTGTCTGTGTTTATACTGAACTTATACTGTGTACCGAACGGACTTGTGAGACAACTGGGCTTCCTACCGACTGACCTACAGGCTGACCACATTGTGTGTGTGTGTGTGTTTGTGTGCAGGCCTGCAGAGGAGCCCACCACATGGGGAGGTTACCTGGGCAAGGTCCTGATGGCGTCCACCACCTACCTGCCTTCCCAGGTCACGGAGATGTTCACCCAGGGACGAGCCTTCGCCACCGTACGCCTGCCCTTCTGCGGACATAAGAACATCTGCGCCTTAGCTGTGTGAGTGTACACCAACACATTTCATGGCCCAGAACTGTTATAAATACCATGATGTCTCAGAAAGAAGTAAAGTTACAGGTGACATGCATGACTCCAAAGCAGCCTCCTCTTTGGGATTTGCAGGCACAAACAGCTCGTGCATATTTGTGTTGTGCCTTTATTCAGCTTGTGCTTGAAGTTACCATATCATTTTGATTTGTATATTAAGATAAAAAAGTCACTTTTCATCTTTGCCACCTGTTTTATATTTTGGCTTTGGTTGTTGTGATGTTTCTCTTGACATGCCCATCAAACACTGTCCATCGTGGTCTTTGAAATTCTGTCTGCTTACTGGTGCAGTCTGTCGCCGTTCATGATGATTTTGAAGTCATCCAGCAGTTAAACATTTAATTGGGTGTTACAAAGAATTCACTGTTGCTGCTTCTGTGAATTTTTTTGCCTCCTGTAACTCTGGACTTATTTTTGTCAAAGCGTTCCCATCACAGTTGGTTGGAGGAGGCGTAATACCTGTGTTACTGCACCATTCTGTAACGGCTTCCTTTTGCTTTGCAACTAACAACTCTAGTGGGAAACTCAGGGACAGGAAAGACATTTCACTATGAGATGAGCTGTGAGTTCTGTGTTTCTTTTAGTTTTTATCTCATGTAAGATGTTTGTGAATTTCTGTTTTTATTGTTTAAATTAGGATTCAGAAGATTCCCAGGTTGTTGGTTGCTGCAGCTGATGGTTACCTGTATCTGTACAACCTGGATCCACAAGAGGGAGGGGAATGCACACTTATGAAGCAGCACAGGTAACACACACAGACACATACAGTGAAAGAAACACATGTAGATGTACAGTAGGTCACTGAACGCAGTTATTTGACGGCTTCAGTTATTGAATCTCTGCTTGTCTTTGACCTCAGGTTAGATGGCAGCGCCGAGCCACCCAATGAGATCCTTGAGCAGGGGTCACATGATCGTCCACTTGTGGCCCAAACCTACAGTACTGCTGTCACTAAAGGTACATCACACAGTGACATTTGTGTGTTTCTGCTAATGCTTTTCTTTGCCAGCCCTGGATTTTCTAATATTTCCAGTGGAATTCAGTGCTAAGTCGGGGCGTGGCGATACACTTGGCTCACGAGATGATATTTTAACACTATTTTTAAGAAATCTTCAATTATGAAATATGTGACTGTAAAAATAGCCTTTTATTTGACAGAAAGTCACTAAAAGCAAAACAATGCAGGTTTGAAATGTTTTAAGGAATCATCCTTTAATGTTCTACTGTCCTAGTGTGAATTAGCATACGCTGTAAAAGGTTTTGCCACATACTCAGCTGACTGGCTTCTCTCTGTATGGTTTCACACGGGTCTCTTCAGACCTTATAACTGTGTATGGTCTTTACATGAGCGTCTAACCTCTAACTGAAGATGTGTCTGACCTTCTACGCTACCTTCACCCTCATAGCACCACACTAGGTGGTTACAGCATCTGGCAAAGGCGCCACGTTGACCAATCACGTACAGGGAACGATTGGGATGTAGACGCACAAGGGAAGAAGACTCTTTACCTTGTTAACATGAGGATTCACTGATATTCACTGTGAAATTTGGGCCACAGTTAATGTGCCATGCATTTTCATATGTACCGGATGTTAAACTGTTTTGTTTTTTTGTTTTTACTCTATTAGTGCCAACACACTGGTGGTAGAATTGGTGCTAAGGTAGAGTAGGCTACATTAGCAGCATGGCTAGCCACAACACAAAGGCAGCACAAGCTGGAAACATGAATGAAGCCCTGTGCGTTGTTTTTCTGGGCTAATGTGAACATATCGTCACACTCTGTCATGCTGGTCTGGTTCTGTTTATGTACTGGTATGAGACAGCTGGTGATGAGAAATATGGCCATGGTTTAATATCGCGTCACACTCCTAGTGCTAATTATTGGAAAAATGGAGACAAAATTCTAATACGGTTACTTAAGTTTCTTCATGTAAGCAGTAAATTTTTAGTGGAATGTCCTTGAAAGAAAGGTCCGTTTAAATATTCATCACACCATTATTTCGTCTTCTGAATTGTTTGCTTATCTGTAGATGCACTTTAATGTTTTTGCATTTTGATCTCGTCACCTGTGCACTGAGTAAAGGCTCAGAACAGTCAGTGAGTTCGTTCATGGACATGAGTATCACAGCTATGATCAGGTTTTTGAAGTGTCCTGTTTTTGTGATTCCACATGTGAACATCATTTCCCCATTTCAGAAACACAGATGAGCTCTCATCCCGGTTTTAAGAAACCCAAATATGCTAGGTGGAGTGCTGTTGCATGTACACGTCCCAGGCGCTCCTGCAGCATCAACGTGACTTAAGATTAAATTCTCTCTTGTAAAGGTGAGTCATGATGAGACAGAATTTACTTTAATTTAGATGGGAGAAAGCACAGACATGTTGACCTCTTCAGATCTGTAGTGGACAAGCTATGGGTCGTCTGTTTCCCCAACACGTAGCCTAGCAACACTGGGACAGGTCGGATCATGGTGGGAAATCCTGAAGAAAAATTGCAACTTGGCCAAACAAAAGAATTGGGTCTAGTCCAGCAGCTTCCCAGTTCTCCAGAAATACTCACTCGCTTAGTCACCGTCCCCTTTCCACTGTGAAGGACGGAGGAGCTGATGTCTGCTTCCCCTGTTCGGCGAGTACTGAGCCTCCACCAGGCGATACATCGACTCCAGGTAGCGTCAAGTTATTCGTGTTGGTGTTTATACATATTGTCTTTTTCGTTAAGAAAAACATAAATACAGTTACCAAACATTTTCCTAATTCTAATCATGTTAATAGATATAGACGGTGACACAGCTGAAGATCATCAGTGACCAGGTTCCTAGTTGTTGCATGCAGGATGTGCGTAGCCAGATTTCTGTGTTCCATGTAAACACACATGCCAGATATGATCAACACCGGGATACTCGTGTCCATGGGAACACACCGAATGTTTCTTCTATATTTTGCACCAAATGGTTATGTAATTCTGTCCAGTGAACTTTGTGGGAAATTGTTGGAAATTACAGACTAAAAATAAACCACAGTGAGAGAAACGTTCAGTGATAAATTCCTTGTATTGTTTCTGGCCTGTCAAGAAGCTCAAACTCATCACTAACCATTCAGCTGCAGTGATTTCAGTGTTACTGTTCCAGATGTTTTAGTGTTTGACCTTTGACCTCTGACCTCTTGTTTCTTAGGCTACTGTGAGGAGCAGGGTGCCGTGGGAGGGGCAAGCTTAGAAGATGACCTCAGTGACTTGCGCCTAGAGGAAGAGAACGAGCAGCCGCCACTCATCCTTGAAACTGACTGACTGACTTAACGAGCGGCTGCACCCACCAATCAGAGGGCTCCTCCAGTGCTGCTATGAACATGTGACACGGGGGGGGCCGGAGGGGGGGTTTCAAACACTCAAAGTGTTCCAGAGCCTGTCAGTCTAACTGTGCGATTGTCTTCACATCCGTCTTCTCCGCCCACCTTCTCTCCTCTGCTTCATTTTCTCTTGTTTTGCCTGCGCAGGCCGAATTGAAGCTTTGCATGTACATGTGCCAACCGCTAGAAACATGCTCCAACGTGGAAACGTGTGTGTGTGTGTGTGTGTGTGTGTGTTGGACGTTTGATTAAAAAAAGAACATGTAGCTGTGTCTCCATTGGAGTCGCACACAAACAGAAGCGAGCACTATGTAAAATGACTGTGGTTGTGTAAGTGCCTCTCTGCCCCAGTGTCGTGGTTTCTCCTGTGTGAGAGAAGGTTCTCTCTGCATTGGCTTAATAAAATTCATTTTCAGTTGTTGGATCCTAATCGAGGATGTGTACAATCTTTTCTGACCCTTTCCTCCATCACATCCAGTCACACAGTGTCCCGCCGCGAGTACGGTGTCAGACGTCGGGCTCAAGTTTCCCTGTAAAAGGATGATTTGGAAGCTGTTGGCATGAGGCATAGGCGTTTGTGAATAAGCGTGTGTTCATACGCTTGTGCCGAGCATGTACATTAGCAAAACATCGTCCCTGCTCATTCTTACCTCATCCAGGCCGAGGCTCGGTGGAGCTTCTCGCGCTCCCCACTCCTCAAGCCTGCAGCCATTGGTTGATTTCTAAACTCTGATATTAATGATCGTTTAAATCTACATAACCAGTGATGTGTCCTGAAAACATGCATGGTGTCATTGATGTGGGTGCTGTGTCCGTACGCCAGACATATTCAGGCGGCGGCGGATCAGTTGTGAAAGGCAGGAAGCTGTCGGTGATCAGTGACAGACTCCTCTTACTCCTCATCCCGCTATATCTCTGTACATAACTAGATGTGGCAAGATATCACTAGCATGTTGTCAGGTTATGACTTCAAGACCTTACACTCTCTGGGGTAGTGTAGATTATAAACCGATAGATCTGGAGCTCAAGCCGAGCCTCAGCCACTGGTCCAGGAAGCTGCATGACTCCCCATTAATCCACTGGTGTTTTGAAGCCACTAAAGGGTTAACCATGGGGATTGTGGAGTGTTAGGCATTTTCTAATGATTTTGTATAAAATGTGAAACATTCATCTGAAACTAAAATGAAAATAAATTCCATGTTGATGTATGAGATAGATGCCTTTTTTTCTTGTTGCACTGTGGGATCTTGGAGAACATGTCATCTCAATTTATCCCAGATTTATTTTAACAATTTATTAAAGTAGGTGAAAATCTTTACATAATATAAGATCTTAATGTTGAAAATAAGACGAGATTATGTTCAAAATGAGGCAAACAAAAGCCGCTTTCAGTTCAAAATGTGAATGACTGACTTAAATTTAGATTGGCAGGCTGCAGTACTCCAGAGGCATAATAGTAATAATTTGAATAATAAACCAAGGAACTACTGTGGTAAAGTAGTAATTATATTATTTGCACATTTCTGCAGTAGTATACTCCCCAAATGCATAACATTAACTGGAAATTTAAGTGTCTTAACTGCATTTTTAGCTAATCTTAACATAAATTATTAAATGTATGGCCACTAGGGGGCAGCAGGATAAGATGATTAAAAAAAAAACTTGTGTATTTGCCCATCTCAGTAATCATATAGCAACATTAGCATTCATTTGCAGCTGTATCTCTGCTCATTTGACCCAAATTAATCCAATATCCACCCTCTGTTAATCTCAGTTTTACTCTTCATCAGTCAAATTAAGCAAAACATTTAACATGAGAAGTGAAAAAGCTTCACGGACCTAAGAAGAACTGCAGTGCCAGATACCTGCATATATCTAGTTTACTGTTTATAATGAAATGTTGATTGCAGCAGCTATAGAGGTCATAGTACTTTATGCGTCAGTCATAAACAGAAAATGTAATGTTGCAGGATGTGAGCTTTGTCAAGTGTGACCCCCTTCCTGTGAATCCGTCACAGGCCTTTCTGTTTACAGGACAATAAGGGACTCTGTTACTTGCTTGCACTTTATTAAGACTTCCAACAGTCACTACACACACTTTAAACACACACGTAGGAGTGGCACACTCAGGTGGGCTCTCTATCCTTGAAGTGAGAGCACAGCTTCACCCGCTCCTCCCTCCAGTGTAAAGGAGATGATGCAAAGTGCACACGTACAGCAGAAACACATTTAACAAGCTCTCTTACACAATACAGGATCCAAAAAAACTACAGCATCATGGGAGCAAAGGTCAGAAGAAACCAAAGCTCCATAGCTGACAGTTCCACATAGAAACACCTTAGACTGTAAACATGTACAGCATTGTAATAGGAAAACATATTTGGCATGCAGACTAAAATCAGCTGGAACAGACTGAGACAACTCCTAGGCAACGCAGATTAAGACTGTCGGTGATGTTAAAGACTTGATTAATCATTTAAGATTTTTATAAGTGTCTGTCTGGGCGCTTTAAGACTTTCCGTGAGGTGCCTGTGCTCGTAATGCCTCGATGAATCACCTTCTGGAGGGATGAACGGGTGTGTGTTACTCTGTGGGAGCAAAAAGACAGGAACAAAGAGGATACACGTGTGTATAAACACATGGACAGGCAGTGTATGTTCTTGTCGTGTATGTAAATGTCTACCTGCTACTGGTGTGTGTCGGTACACTCTACCCGTCCTGCCCTCCGCTGGCAGGCTTGGTGACCTGAACGATCTCCACCGAGGTGAAGCCCTTGGTGGCCGAGGCTCGGTTCCTGGTCCTCATTTTATTTAAGGACATCTCTGCCATTTCTGCACGCTCCTCAGCATCATCCAGCTCATGGACCGTCTTCCTGTATTTAGACAGGCTGCTGTTGGCCTGCTCCTCCTACAGTGACACATACAAATGTTCACTCATTTGATGAAGAACTAGGAATGCTCTCTAACCTGTCTCCTTTTGAAGAGTTTGAAGAAGGTTACAATTTTTGGCATGTTTTTAATATACTGGCCTCTAATGGGATTCAAGTGCAACATTTAAAGGAACTGCTAGACATTCTTGTTTATTCCTTTTCTGGCAGACCGATAAAGAGATGGATGCCGCTTTCACACCGGCCCATTAGATACCCTGCGTCATTACTCACAGCCTCCTCTATCTGCCGTTTGTAGGACTTGAGCTTCGTCTGCAGTTTCTCCACCAGCTCTTGCATGCGCTGATTGGTCTTATGGTCCTCCTCGGTCTGGAAGACCAGCTCCTTGAGACGACGCCCTCCTTTACGGAGAATTTTCACTGTCTCCATGTGGCGCTTCTGCTCCTGGTCCAGGTTATTCTCCAGTTCCTTGATCTAGCAGGACCAAGAATGGGAGGAAATCACAGAGTATGTGGGTGAGACTCCTGAGCCAGGGGTGGTGTTTGGATGACTGTCTGACCTGGACCTGTCTTGTCACTTTTTCAGGTAATGCCACAGCCCAGCATGTCTCAGTAAATCCAGCTCCTCACCCTTGTTTCCAGTTTCTGGATGGTGCGCTTCCCGGCCTTCAGGGCCTGCTGCTCAGCCTCCTCCAGCCTCAGCGTGAGGTCTCGGAGGTTCTGTTCTTGGTTCTTCTTGATCCTCTCCAGGTGGGAGCTCCGGTCCTGCTCCTGCCGAAGCTCCTCACACAGTCGTGTGGCCTGGACGCAGACACATGCATGAATTCACGATCCTTATTTAACACATTCCTACATGTTTCTGTGTATCTAATGTCAAAACTTTTTTTCTGTGGACAAGTTGCTCACATCAGTCACAGCCTTCTTGGCTCTCTCATCAGCGGCACGAAACTCGGAGATCAGCTCTTCATTCTCACTGGACAGTCGGGTGACGTCGGCCTCCAGTTTTCTCTTCAGGATAGTCAGGCTCTGGTTCTAGTGTGAGAAAACAAGTTTGATTAGCAGCAAGAAGTCACTCTGACAAAATGGTTTTATGAAACCATCAGATTTGTGTCTGTGTGCGTGCGTCTGAGGGGACTGCCCGTCTTCCTGTCCAGCCACCACCCACCTGCATGCTGATCTCACTGAACCTCTCTGTGGTGTCCACCAGCTCCTGCTCAATTTGTTTGCGTGCCTTCTCGGACGCCTCCAGGCCTCCTCTCAGCTCTTCCATCTCTGCCTGCATGAGACACAGGCGGCGCTCCTGGAGGCTGTACTTCTCCCTCAGCTCATCGTGCAGACGGCCGTCCTCATCCATCTGCACCTGCAGATCCTGGATGAGAGATGGGACACTAGGAAACTGCAGCATTTTTCTTAGGAGTTCCATATTCTGCCTCTCGGTGGTCCAATAAAAATCCTACTTTGATCTGCTGCTGCAGCTTCCTGAGGGTTTTCACCAGCTCAGTGTTGTTCCTGTTAGCATGCTCCAGCTGAATCTCCATCTCATTCAGGTCTCCCTCCATCTTCTTCTTCATCCTCAGAGCCTCGGCACGACCTTTGGCCTCTGCCTCCAGACTGGCCTGCAGTGACTCTACTGCACGTGCATGGTTCTTTCTAGGTTGTAGACAAGGAGTAGTGGTTATAAATATATGATAAAGCTGTGTGGTGCAACAGATACAAATAACCTGATTGTGGATGACACTTTTGTAGGAAACTGAGATATGACACTTTTGTGTGCCTTGAAGAGGTTTATAAAATGTCAGCGTGCATGTGTGTGCAGCACGTCTGACCTGGTGACTTCAAACTCCTCCTCCTTTTCATGGATTCTGCGATCGATGTCGGCCTTGACTTG